GTAGAAGAAGAAAAAGAAGAAGAAGAAGAAGAGGAGGAGGAGGAGGAGGATGAGGAGGACAGCGGCGGCGGCGAAGACTGCGAGCAGCGGCGGCGGCGAAGACTGCGAGCGACCCCCCCTGAGGCCTCTGTGGAGGGGGAAAACACACACAGACACAATTAATTGTCGATTCCCTCGAAAATATCAGAATCTATGGGAAGTGGGGGGGAAACGGAAATGAACAAACAATTGAAACACGGGGAATCCTAGGATTTGGCTGCATTTCTTTGTGTGTCCCTGGGCCCCTGCAGAGATGGAAAGTCTAGCAAATCCGTGCCGCCTGCGAGCTACGGCGTCGGATCTTGCGATTCACTGGCAGTTTTCGGGTCGAACTCAACACCAGCAAGGTGGCCGCTACCTCCCTCGCTGTCTCTCGCCATCGGTTTCGGAGCGGCGACCATGGTCGGCGCCCCGCTGCAATCCGTGACCGCGGCCCTGGCCACCAGTTCAAGCTGTTCGATGGGGGTCAGTGGCAGTGCTGCGACTGCCCCCGACTTGGTAAGTTCGCCTCTCGGCTTTGCGTTGCCAAAGCCGAGAGGTGTCCTGGCTGGGGTGGGGCCGTTTCCAAGGCTCGGGTCCGTCAATGAAGCCAGACCTTGCTCAAGGGTTCAGCACGAAGCTCGGCCGAGATGGCCGCGCGTGGCTCCGACCCCACCCCCACCCAGCCACCCCTTCTTCCGCCGCGCGAACATGACGTTCCCGCGCTCAAAGGTTATTGCGGGAGTGCAACGGCCCCTTTCGGAAAGAGTTCCCCGCTCATAAGAGCAGGCTGCGCTGCCGCGACCGAATTATCGAAGGTCGCGATCTGTATACGGGTTTGACTGTTGAGGAAACGTGACCTCGCCTTCGCATTTTCATCCCTACGCGGTCCGGCTCCGGCTGGAACGCGAACGCACCTCGACGGTGGAACGTCCGCCGGGGGCCGACGCAACGTCCGGAAAGCCTTGAGCCTCGAGCTTGAAAATTTCGAGTCTCGATCGCGCGGCCTGCCCAGAGATCCGACGTCGTGATTTTTTCAATACGGGGTCCCCGGAAGTCTCGACCCATTCCCCAGGACCCGTTTTTCACCCTGAGTCGTTTTTGGACGACCCCGAGGCCCGGCGAGGACCCCCGGGGGCTGAAATTTGCGAGAATTTTCCGCCTCGACTTTTCCATCGCTCTGGATCTCTGGGTGGGTCTGCTCCAGAGCCCGCCGCCGAGCGCCGCCGGCCGTCGCCGCCGCGTGGCCCGCGAGGGCCCTGGCGGCCGCCGGGGGTACCCGCGGGCGGCCGGGCAGATGCCGCCGCGCTGCGGCCGCGGCGGCGGCGGCTGAGGGCGGTGGCAGAGGCCGGGGCGTGTCGGGCGCCGCCTCGTCCTCGTCCTCCTCCTCCTCCTCCTCCTCCTCCTCCTCCTCCTCCTCCTCCTCCTCCGGTCCTCCTCCCTCTCCCCCTCCTCCGCCTCCCTCCTCCTCCTCCTCCTCCTCCTCCTCCTCCTCCTCCTCCTCCTCCTCCTCCTCCTCCCCCTCTCCAACGGGGGAGGGGGGGCGTGGTTCCTCCCCAGACTTGCGTCGGGCCCGTGCCTCCGCAGGGGGAGTGTTCCATGGTTCGTCCGCCTCTCCCCCTCTCCCCCTCTCCAACCTCCTCCTCCTCCTCCTCCTCCTCCTCCTCCTCCTCCCCCTCTCCAACGGGGGAGGGGGGGCGTGGTTCCTCCCCAGACTTGCGTCGGGCCCGTGCCTCCGCAGGGGGAGTGTTCCATGGTTCGTCCGCCTCTCCCCCTCTCCCCCTCTCCAAGGGGGGGGGGCGGGGTTCCTCCCCAGACTTGCGTTGGGCCTGTGCCTCTACAGGGGGAATGTGCACAAACACTCAGAAAATAGCCAGGGGACGATTTTCTGATGGTTTGTTGGCTAGGTTTGAGCATCTTTGGGGTGTCCTCGATTTTTCGTCCAAGCTCCGCCTGTAGGAGGACATGCCCGACTTAACCTCAGACCCCCTCGCGTGGCGAAGGAATCCCGACGGGAGGCTTCTAGGCCTCCCAGGTGGGGTCCGAGCAGATGGGGTCGGAGGATCGCGCCGCATCGCCGATGCATCGACGATACGGCTCGATGTGGAGACCGTGTTGCCCCATGCCGACGTCGCCGATGCATCGCCGATGCATCGCCGATACATCGTCGATGCATTGGCGATGCGGCGCGATCCTTCGACCCCATCCACTCGGACCCCATCTGGGAAGCCTCTAGGAGGGTGTTCTTGAACCGCATTCCACGGATAATGTAGACCCCCCCCCCTCTTTCCCCTTGTGTGTCTTTATCCACGGGGTTGGATGGGGTTCCATTGACACAGAAGGCGGGGAGGCCGAACTTCATTTCCCCCTCCGAAGTTCCGATCGTAGCTCTGATTGCGAGGATGTCTCAGGCGAAACGCGATGCAGGCATCCTAACATCGATATCTCCAGGGGAAGGTGTGTTCTCCCGCCTGGACCCTGTGCCGGGCCCCGGGACCGCAACAAAAACGACTCAAGATGAAAAGCCGCTCCCGGAAAAGAGGTCCAGACCTTTGGGGGCCGACGTCTTGACGAATAACCGGCCGTCGGGGGCCTGAGTCTGGACCAGGGCTCGAGCTAAGCGGTGTTTGGGCAGTTTCGCAGACCACTTTGGTTTTGATTTCGTTTTACAGCAAAGGTGGAACGAAGATAAAACGAGGAATCTTGAACACAACACGATACCAGGAAACACAGACCTCGGACGTTTCGAGAAACTCGATGTAGCAGTTTTCTGTAATGTTTGGCTTCATGGGGACCTCCTCGGCCCCAGGGCTATCGAAAACAAACTGGGGATGAAGAGCCGGCTCTGGGGGATGGTCGAGACGTTCGGGGGTCGACGTCGTGAAAGTCGGGTGAGGCAAAACGTGCCCCAGAACAGACGTACCCTGGAACGGGTGCCTCGGGGTCCGCCTTGGGACGCCCCATGGCTGCGATTTTGCGTCCACCGAGGTTGGAACCGTGGCCACTGCGACACCTCTGTGGGGGTACGTCGCCCTGGGGGTACGTTTGCGCCGTCCCAAGAAAACGGGCGATAGATGTCAGAGGAGGTAGACATACCGATGCCGCTACGCTGGTCTCGTTCTCGCTTTTCGGGCTTCTGGAAGCCTCTCGTCGCCACCGCTGGGTTCGCCTCGAAAGTTTGGTCAGAAAGCACCCTGTGAGAGGTCAGAGTACCTGTATCGGCACCCTGAGATCATGGCGTCGCATCTTGTTGCAGCGGGCGATTTTGCTTAGTTTTGGGCCCCCGATCCTCACGGATCGAGCTGGTTCGAACAAATCCGCAGAAGGATGGGGTCCAGAGCTCGGGCTTAGGTTTTAAGCGATATGTTGTAATTTTTGTGCCGTAGCGTCGGAGCTCAGGGAATGGGCGGGGCGTTGGGGCTTCAGGAAAGGGGCCCCGACGGGGCCCCCACACGCCTGCAGAGGCACTGAAGGGACACCCCTGGGGCCCCGAAGGTGCACCAAAGGTGCACTTTTCTCAGGAGGGGAAAAAGCACACAGACACGATTAATCGTCGATTCCGCAGAAAATATGGGAAAATATGGGAAGTGGGGGGGGGAAGACAGAAACCCAACGAATATGGGAAAATATGGGAAATCCTTTATTTGTGTGTATATTTATTTGTGTGTCCTGGGGCCCCGAAGGTGCACCAGAGATGCACTTGTCTCCCCCCCGGGCTCCGCGTCGTCTGGCGGATCCCCCTCCCCACCGGGCCACGGCACCTCGGCCCCACCAGGGCGCCCGCCGCGGTGGGGCCGGCCCCGCGAAGCCCGACGGGCACGGGCACACACTTTATCTCGGGCTCCAGCCCCCCAGAAGGAGGAGGAGAAGGAGGAGGAGGCGGAGGATGCGGAGGATGCGGAGGAGGAGGAGGAGGAGGAGGAGGAGGAGGAGGAGGAGGAGGAGGAGGAGGAGGAGGCGGAGGCGGAGGATGAGGATGAGGATGAGGATGAGGAGGAGGAGGAGGAGGAGGCGGCGGAGGAGGAGGGCACAGGCGCGCACACTTCATCTCGGGCTCCCCTCCCCCTCCCAGGCCCCCTGATGGGGTGGGTCCCAGGGTTCCGCGGGCCTCCAATGATGGGATTGGGGACGACGGCGACCACGACGACGACGACGGCGACGACGACGGTGACGACGACGACGACGACGACGATGACAACGGCTTCGGCGGCGACGGCGACGGCGACGACGACGACGGCGGCGGCGGCGGCGGCGACGGCGACGGCGACGACGACGACGACGACGACGATCACAGAAGTTCTGGGGGTGCGGCGGAGCTCTGGATCACATATCCCCCTCAGTGGGGCAGCTCGGCCAGTGGAGCCAAGGCCACGCCAGTGGGGAGAAGGATCGGTTCAACGACGCTCAAGCTGCACCTTTCTTCATCCCGACGCTTGTTGACCCCTGATTATCTAGGGGCCTTCGGCCCATCCCGCCTCAGTGTCTGGGTTGTAGGTCAGAGTCTTCTTGGATGCCTGTCGGGATCTCTTAGCTTGCCTCTCGGAAGCATCTTGGAGGCAGCTTTGGGGTGTTTGGACCCCCAGCGGGGGTTGGACGCCTGCTGGCGATCTCGGAGAGCTCCTTGCGGCGAAGGTCTCGTAATCTCCGCTCGAGTTTTCCGTATTGGGTCAAAGATGTTCAGGTGCAGCTTTCTCTCCCCCCCGATGTCTTGCCCCCTCATTAGGAAGCAACACCCAATTGAAGACTGCCCCTACGGAGATTGCCATCCAGCGTAACACCGCTCTTGTCCCCGCCAGGTGTCCCCGAGGTCTGTCTAGAAACTGAGCCCACCCCTCCTCTTCTCCCCTATCATCCCCCTCTTCCTCCTCCTCGTCCTCGTGGATGGGAGGATGACCATATCCCCCTGTTGATTAATGGTTGCCCCCCCATGAGATCCGCCGTCCCAAAAATTGCAGCATCGTGGAAAACTCGACCAGAGTTTAGGCCCCCATGTTTCTGTGCTATCTTTCGAGCCAGACCGATCCGCGAGGGCCCCAGGACCCGGAAACGAGGCGAAGCCGCCCGATTTGAAAGAGAAAAAATACCTCAGGATCTCGAGGTTCACGCGAGGCTGCTTGTTGGGCCCTTTCGTGCTAAGTAATGCCCTGTGGAGTGATGGGCCGACTTTCCACCACTGCTACCATAGGTAGGAGAGGAGGAGGAGGAGGAGGAGGAGGAGGAGGAGGAGGAGGAGGAGGAGGAGGAGGAGGAGGAGGAGGAGAGAGGAGGATGCGGAGGAGGAGGAGGAGGAGGAGGAGGAGGAGGAGGAGGAGGAGGAGGAGGAGGGCGGACCTCTGCATTTGTCGCGCAACGCCCGGCAGAGGGCAGCCCCCGCGGCGCCCGCCGCGGCTCCCCGGCGCCCGCGGCGCCGAGGAGGCCAGCGCCCGCTGGCCTGGGCTGGCGGCGCACGGCTGGGCCCTCCGCCTCCATCTTCCATACCTTCCGACCTCTGCGGAAGGCGCGGAAGGTGATGCATTGAAACTATTGAGAATGCCTCGGGAAGCGCAAGAAAACCCAGCATCTCACGAAGCGCAAGAGTGTGGTAGGTCAGCACGGAAGATTTGGAGGAATGACGGCGAGGGGGACGGGCTGCAGCTCCTCGGGGGCGGGCGGCACGGTCGCTGTGGCAGGAAGCGGGCCGCCCTGACTTCTTCGGTGCGCGGTCCCCCGACCCGCTTCCTCCACGGCGACGGGGTTGCCACCTTCACGGCGTCCTTCACGGCGACCCGCTTCCTCCTCGCCGACCCGCTCCCTCCACGGCTTCCTTCTCGGCGCTTCTTTTCTGACCCTATTTTGGGAGGCCTGGACCCCCCAGACATGCGACGCCCCGATTCCTTCAATGCGCGGTTTCCGGAAAGCCCGACCCTTGCCCCGAGACCGGTTCGTCATCCCGAGTCGTTTTTTGGCGGTCCCGGGGCCCAGCGAAGGCCCCCGGAGGCCGAAAGTTGCCAAACACTTCCCGTCGTGATTTCTTCCACGGCGCGCACACATCTAGAGGCCTCCCGAATGGGGTCCGAGTGGATGTGGTCGGAGGATCGCGCCGCATCGAGGATGCATCGGCGATGCATCGGCGATGCATCGGCGAAGTCGGCGTGGAGAAGCTCGGGATCCTCATCGAGTCGCATCATCGATGCATCGGCGATGCGGCGCCATCGGGTCGAGGACCGGGGTGCAACGGGCCGGAGGACCAAACCCCGGGAGAGGTCCAGGGTGCAGTGGTATCCGTACCTTTTGGCTTCCCCATCTTCGGCGATCGCCTCCACTGACGGGGCAGGGCTGGACCTAAACGGTGTTTCGGCGATTCCGTGGGCCGTTTTCATTTCGATTTCGTTATGCGGTAAAGGTGGATTGAAGACAAAACGAAACACCGTTTAGGTTCAGTCCTGCGATGGGATGTCGAATATGGCGGGTACGTGTCGAGTCGACGCGGCGGCGACCCCTGCCGAGAGTTAGGCGTCGCAGTGTTTTTCTCACCGGGCGAGGCTGCCTCGCTCTGGGCCCAGTGCCCCTCGCGGAGCGATCCATTTTGGAAGTGCCACCAGAAAAAGTCAGGAGGGGAAAAACACACAGACACAATGAATCGTCGATTCCCCAGAAAATATGGCAAAATATGGGAAGTGGGGGGGAAGACGAACACCCAGAAAGTATGGGAAGATATGGGGAATCCGGTTATTTGTGCGTATCTATTTGTGTGCCCCAGGGCCCCTTTCGAAAAGATAGGGTCCAGGGCCTCTGTCCAGCCTTCTGTTACGAGGCAGCGATTTCGTCGGAGGTCAGGGAAGGACCACAGGGCTCGGCACGCAGGGCCTTGGTTGTTTTTTGTTACTCGGTCGCTGTTCTCCCTTGAGCCATGCTGCAGTCAAGGAACGCGCGGCACTTGCTGCGCCAGAGCGCAGCGTCCTGCTTTCTGGATGTCTGTCAGCCAAGCTGCTGCTGCGCGCTGCAGTGCCAGTGAACCTTTCTCCACCCCTTCCCGTTTGCACGAGAATGGGGTCCTCTCCCAGACCTTGGCAGTTGTGCTGAACGCCTCCTCCTCCTCTCCCCCCTCCCTTTCCCCCCCCTCCCCCCTCCCCCTCCCCCGCTCCTCCCCAGCAGCACGACCTCCGTTGTCGTATAGCACAGCTTTCCCTGATATCCGACGAACCGACCACAAATACGACATCGCATGAACAAAAAATCAACCGAAACTCAGGACCCATACCCCACCTCTCTGCGGCTTGTCTCGAGCCGGATCGATCTGAAGGGTCCGAGGGCCTGAAGCACAGGGGAATCGCCCGTTGCGAAACACTTGAGCGCCAGAATCTCAGGGTCGGCCCACCCCCTTGAGGTTTTCGTGTCATGACTCGGCTCTCCAGCGGCCGTTCGGGACGATCCCGGCACCCCCAGAACGCCTCCGGCGAGGCGCAGCCGCTGGAAGACCGCCGAGGACATACGAAAACGCCAGACAAGAGCCCCAGACACGAACACCTGGAGCCTCGATCTTGGTGTTTGGGTCTCCTCCCCTCCTCAGCAGGGGCGCCTCAGCCACGCGCAGAGGGGGGTGGGGGGAGGGGGGAGGGCTTCTTAGAAGCACCCCCGCTTCTTAGAAGGCGCGGGCCTTCTTTGTAGATGTAAGGCCGGCGCCTTCTAAGAAGCAGCCTGCTTCTAGGAAGCCCCCCCCCCCCCCCCCACCCCCTTGTGCGCGCCGCCAAGTCTCAGCAGGGTGGGCCTCGCCGGCTCGCGCCCGAGGCCGTCCTCCCGGCGGATGGCGGCCATGGCGGCCGGCGGCATCGCCGCGGACAGCTACGTCGAGCGGGCAGGCGGCGAGCGCGCCGGCGCGCGCCGCGGGAGCGGAGCGCGCAGCCGGCGACGGCTGCGGCGCCGACGGGGTCGCCGACGGCGATGTCGACGGCGGCGCCGGCGGTGGCTGCGGCGCCGACGACGGCGAAGCGCGCCGACGGCGGCAGCAACGGCGGCGTCGGCGGGTTCGGCCCCTGGGGGATCCCGGGACCGCCAGGGTGGAAAGCAGGGGAGCGATCTCGGACGGGGGTAGGACGAGCGTAAATCCGTTCCAGAGCGTTCCGGAACGCTCTCAAAGCATTCCGGAACGCTCTGAGAAGAACCCGGGCGCCCGAGTCATCCTCCAGAGCCGCCGGATCTCGGAGATTCTCGATTTATCCTTGTTTCGATGTTGTTCTCGTCCTGGCTTCGCCTGAAGTGTGATCCTGAGCGGATTTAGGGGGCCACATGTGAGCCCTACCCCTAACCCCCCACGATTTCTGAGGGGGGTCAGGACTAGAGTTCAGACGTGGCCGCCCAGGATCCTGGCGGCGGCGGCGGGGGAGGCTCCCGCCGTGGAGGGCGTCGGCCGCGCGCAGTGCACGGGCTCGGCCGTGGGTGCCCCTCCGCTCCCCGCGCCAGGCAACGAGATGGCCCTGGCCAACATAGAGACGAGGCCGCGCGGCCGGCCGGGGTGGGGCCCTGCGCAGGGCGGATTGTTCGCTTCCTCCGTGTCGAGTCGACTCGATTTTGATGGCTTCCGATTCCGATGGGATGCGTTCGAGGGTAGGCTACCCGTTGACGGGAAGCCTTTCTTGACATCGAGCAATTTCAGGCATTCCAGAGACACCAGTGTTCCAGAGCCTCCAGCTACAGAGGCTGTAGGCCATCGGGTTCGCCGACTTCGGAGCGGCGCACCTTCTGCCCATGAGTGAAAATTCGGGTTCCGTTTTCGGCTCTGATCTCTCATTGGAGGCCTACTCGGCTGCCGATCTCCGCCGATTCGACGTTTCCCGACTCGGCTGCCGATGTCCGCCGATCCAATTCTCATGTCGATTGCCGATCCGACTTGTCGATTCGACTCTGGGGGCGCCTGCAGCGGGGGGAGGAGGATCGAAGATCGACTAGACGCAAGAATGGCCTTTCGCCAGAGCCGTGGGCGTCGTCGTGGTGGTCGTGGGCGTCGTGCGCGTCGTCGTGGGGCGGTGGCGCGCAGGAGGGGGGGAGGCGTCGCGAGGCTTTTCGAGAGGGCGGGGGGGCGTTCTTAGACGGCGGGTGGCTTCTTGGAAGCCTCCCCGGCCTCCTGGACTTCTCTTGGCAGGAAGACTTTTGGCGATTAGACGTAAGAGTGACCTTTCGCTGGAGTGACCTTTGGTGCGGGCCCAGTGGGGTCCCCCGATCGCTGAGCGTGGAGCGGTGGCAGCGGCTCGCACGCCCAGGTTTGGCCACCCCGCGTCCCCGGCTTTCGCCGCGCACTAGAGGTCACTCTTGCCTTGGGTTCTAGGCCTCCTAGATGAGGTCGGAGTAGATGGGGTCGGGGGATCGCGCCGCATCGCCGATACATCCGCGATGCGGCTCGATGTGGAGAGCCCGATTTGCTTCACGTCGGCGTCGCCGATGCATCGCCCACGTCGACGATGCATCGCCAGTGCATCGCCGATGCATCGCCGATGCATCGCCGATGTGGCTCAATGTATGTGGAGCCCGACTTGCTTCACGTCGACGTCGCCGAAGCATCGCCGACGTCGACGGTGTATCGCCAGTGCATCGCCGATACATCGCCGGTGCATCGCCGATGCATCGCCGATGTATCGGCGATGCGGCGCGATCCTCCGGCCCCATCTACTCCGACCTCATCTAGGAGGCCTCTAGTGTAGCCGAGGAATCTGGAGCAAGAACATGCATGCGCGGCACCATGTCTGGAAGCTTGCCCACCTTTAAGGACATCCACCTGGTCCCCTCTGGCCTGCGGGCCGCAGCCCCTGACCCAGACCGTGGGGGAGACAAGACTCTGACGGCCGCTCGCGGCCGACTTAGCAACGCCAGGGCGGCGGGCGCGTGCAAGGTTACGGCGCAGTGCAAACAGGAGGAGGACCCGGGTCTCCGGCGACATGATTCTTCAGCTTGGGGGCCTCCCTCGATCTCGGAAGCAGGGGCCGATCAAGCACGGATTCGGGGCGGAAAACCACCCCTGGGGAAGCGGTCGGGGTGGCGGCGGGTGTCTGCGGCTCGGGGGGGTCGCGGGGGATCGGGGAGGATAGCGGGGGATCGAGGAGTCAGGGGCAACTATAGGGAGGAGGCGTAGGGGGGATGCATCGACCCCCAATCGCCCGTTGATCGCCGATAGGGGCACGATAGCCCAAACCTGCCCAGGAACGTGCGGATTCGCTAGCGGCTGCCTATCGCCGAACTATCGGCGGTGTATCGCCCATTCCAGATCAATGTTTCCTCCCCACGCTTATCCCCCCTGTCGTCGGGATGATGTTGAGTGGATCGATGACCTTCTGACACCGCGGATTGAACAAATCAGATCGGCGGATGTCTGGGGATCGGGGTGATCTGGGGGGATCGTGGGGGAGGAGGGTGATGGTGAGGAGGGGGGGTGGGCACGGCTGAGGAGCGTCGCGATGCGAGGGAGGATCGGAGGTGGATCGGGGCAGGATTTGGGGAGGATCGGCGGGGGTCGAGGAGGAGGGGTGAGGAGGATGAGGTCGAAGGATGGGGGGGGGGAACCGAGAGGAGAATCGAGGATCGGGAGGGCATCGTGGAGGACCAGGGCGCATCTGGGATGAGGACGGGATCGAGGGAGGAGAGGGGGGGGCCAGAGGAGGATCGAGGATCGGGGGAGTTATCGTGGAGGGCCAAGTCGAGGATTGGGGTGTGTGGTGAAACCGTGCCTCTCTTGTGCGGCGGGGGGTGCGCCCCCCTGCCCTCGGCGCGCAGGGGCGCCCGAGCAATTGGATGGGGCGCGGCTCAGTGCGGTCCCGCGGCCCACGGGGCAGCGCCGAGCTCCTCGGAGCCGCCGAGGCGGCAGCACCAGAGCCGACGCCCGAGAGGCGTAGGCACTCCCCCACCCGCCACAGGCGGGAGCGGCGCCAACGAGCTGCTGCTCGAGTCATTTTGCGTGCGCTTTGAGCACTTGAGCGACTGAGCAAACATCACAACAACGGGATGGCGATGATACGTGGATTTTGACGCAGTGCATGTGGTAGCAGCAACAGCTCGTCGGACAAACTTTGCAGGCACCGTCGTCGTAATATGACCCAGGGCGCTTCATGATCAGAGAGAACGTGCAGGTTTCAGGGGGACGGAGGAACAGTCCAATATACACGATAAGGTCAAGCAACTCATCTCCCAGACCATGGTGTGCACGTGTGAGTAACTATGCAGAACGGCAACCTCGGTCCCAACAGCCCCTGCCACTTGAGATCCCAAGGAAGATCGCTAAGGTCCCGACCAGAATTTAAGTATCAGTGAGTTGGTTGTCAAAAGGTCAGGCCGCGCGAACATGCACACTTTGGCTGGAAGAAGGTGATTGCGGTGTCCAGCTGTACTGGGTGGTAGCTACACTATGGAGCTCAGCAAGAGCCAGAGAAGGAGGGCGAGGGCAGGGATTGCATGTGAGATGGGGGCTGATTTTCCCAGAATGAGAAGACGATTGAGACATCGCAGACTGATCTCATGCTTCATGGGCAGACATTGTATTGTTGGGAGGGCTTGCTCCAGGAAGCGATGCGCGATAGTCCCCCGCCAGGTGGCACTCGTGAACATGGTCATGGTAGGCGAGCGGCCTTATCTATCGCGAGGGATGGTGGTGGCGTGCTTCGACACGATGAAGCCTCAGATGCGGACGCACCTCCCCCGCCTCCGCCGCCGCCACCACAGCCCGGTTACCCTTCTCCGACGGCGGACGAACTATCTGGAGGAAACGCAGCGGGGTCGGCACCTCAGGCGGATTCGTTTCCAAAAGGGGGGCGACGGCGAGCTCGGCAGTTATTGCAAGGATTCTGGTGGTGGAGAACGGTGGGCACATGCGGTTAGATGGCTCGATGCGCGTGGTTGACGAGCTCTTCTTACTTCGTCGGTCACACCTACGTCATCCCCCGAGCGCCTGCCCCCTTTTCCAGACAGGACTGCAGCAGCGGTTCCACGTGGAGACCCTTGGCCGGACATATAAACTCTTGGTGCGCCAGGCAGCAGGGGGGTAGCGCCTCGCATCAAGAACGAGAGGTCCAGCTACATCGACAGAGATTGGCGGCGACGCAGTTTGGCCATGCGTCGCGGCAGCGAGTGGCGGCGTCTGCGCGCGTGGCTCGTTGAGATCCCCAGCGGTATCGGATGGGAGCCAGGCGGCAGCTTGAGAGCGTCAAGTTCGAGGCCGACCGACAGTTTCTCTCAGAAGGATTGAGGGCCGGAGCCGAAGAGACAGTGGGCGCAATCAGCCGATGTTTGGGAGGTGCGCTTGCAGGAACCGCGCCGCGCGGCCGGGCAGCGCCGTGAACGTGCCCATCGGGAATCCTTTTGAGTTCGCACGTGCCCGCGAGGCCCGCGTAGAGCAGAGCACCCCTGATCGGCGCCGGCAGAGGATGGCGAGGACTGCGTCGACGAAGTGGAGACCGATGTACGAGTGGACAGAGTGCACCCAAAGGGGGCGTTCAAACGGGCGCAAGAGATCGAGCTAGTTACACTGTGAGAAGCTAGTTCCGAATCTGACGCTGCGACCAAGTTCCTCCACCAGGGTTTGGGTGAGCTGGCTCAACCAGCTGTGTCCGCGTGAATTATCGTGGATAGTTCTGGTGATCACGATGGGCGGCGTCGTGGATGGGTAGTTCTTGCAGCTGCCCTCTTGCTCGCGAACAGCGCGGCGACGACGGCGTGGTCCTTGTTCTCGGGATCGAGGCGTGATGCCCTTTCGGGTTCAAGGCGTGATGCCTCGCGTTCTACTGGGGGAAAGGCAGGGGGCGCGTGGCGTTCTTTGGGGCAGAGGCGGAGCGCGCGGGGGAGGTCAAGACGTGAGAAGCTACGCGGCAAGAGGAGCACTGCCGCTGCAGCCCGAAGATCTGGGCGCCGTTGTCAGGGCCATCGACAGGAGAGCGGCGCGTTGGCGAATCGGCGCGTCAAGAGGGTGGGCGTGAGTGTATGTGTGTGTGTGTGTGTGTGTGTCTGTGTGTCTGTGTGAGTGTGTGTGTGTGTGTGCGTGTGCGTATGCGCGTGTGCGTGTGCGTGTGCGTGTGCGCGTGTGCGTGTGTGCGTGGGTGCGTGGGTGCGTGTGTGCGTGAGAGGAGAGAGAGAGAGAGAGAGAGAGAGAGAGAGAGAGAGAGAGAGAGAGAGAGAGAGAGAGAGAGAGAGAGAGAGAGAGAGAGAGAGAGAGAGAGAGAGAGAGAGAGAGAGAGAGAGAGAGAGAGAGAGAGAGAGAGAGAGAGAGAGAGAGAGAGAGGAGAGAGAGATTGTGTGTTTGGGTGGGGTGGTGGCGGCGGCGGCGGCGGTGGTGGGGGGGTGGGGTGGGGCGGGGCCTGCGGGGGGGAGTGTGTGTGTGTGTGTGGGGCAGGGGGGGGGGCGGTGGCGCGGGCCTGAGGTGTGTGATAGAGCTGGGGGGCGAGCAGTGGCAGCAGCCTTTGCGTAGAATCAGGGGTGGGTGGGTGGGTGGGGGGGGGGGGCGGCGCCTGGAGCGCGGGG